CTCCAAAACCAGTAAAACAGCCTGGGAAAAGGCTTTTATGGCGAGACACACGGAGAATACATGGTTTTAATTAAGCACAGAGGTTGAGAAGGCTCTTGAGCACAGGTCTAGCCTAGCGAAAGCATCCTACAAAAGCTTTCAAGCCAGAGCCAAGGGCTAGAAGCTGAAGGCAACAGATTGAAATGGGAACAAGGGAGGTGCCACTAGCCCTGGGACTCACCAGCCACTGCATTTATGTGAAAGGACGTCAAGTTCTGGGAGTGCTTGACTGAAGCTCCACCATCTTTGTGGGAGATTTAGGCGAAGAGAAGGCCCCCTTGAGCCAAGAAGCGATGGGCTCTGGATGGGCTGTGACGTGGACGGTGAGACCGGAGGCGCCAGCCCGATCCAGCCACTGCCGGTGCTACGGCCCAGGTTCCTCCTCCCGGGGCTACGGGGATCACCGAGGCACCTTCTGCACCGGGTGGGGACAGACAGCCGTGCCCAAACTGCAGCTCCTCCTGCAGAAGGTGCCCATCCATCGCCCTGCGCCATCGCCCCATCTCTTCTGGCAGTAGAAGAGGCTTTGGGAAGGAGTTGGAATCTCTGTGGAGTGACCGAAATCCCCCAAATCTCAGGGTTTTCTTACCTCAGTCCCTCCCTGTTTGCCCCTACCCTTTGCTAGAGCAGCCTGCCCTTCCTCCAGGAGCTGGCACAGTCGCAGCAGCGACGCACACACTCCGATTTTTGAGGTTTTCTTTAAGCATCAGGGGAGAGCTCACGGAGTTAACAACGATCCCCCCCCGACACCCAGTCCCTGCCAGCGCAAGCCCAGCCACCCAGCACCCTGCAGCCAGTCAGAGCCCTGCCGAAACAGGAGCCTGAGGCACGCCCCGGCCAGCACGAAGACAAGAATGAGACCACGTTCAAAATTAATATATATTTTTATTGAATAGTTGCTCTAAGTGGGCTTGTGAAGCCACCCATAGAATTACTTCTTTCATCTCAGCAGTGGTTCAGTAACAGTTATTAGCTTTTGCAAGAGAAGAAAACCAAATAGAAGAGGGTGCATTAAAATAAATAGGTTATTTTTTTTTTCTTATCTTTAAAATAAACTTTTCAAATAAATACTTTGTTGGTTTTTTTTTTTTATTTTTTTTCCCTTAAAAGGTACAAGAGTATTGTCAAAAACCAGCCATCGGGTTATAAACATATATTATACCTTATAGAAAGGAACCCAAATAAAGACAGCCAGGGGAGGGATCTCTTTATACACTGTACAGAATGCCTTTGTACCAGTTAAACAGAGAATTAGAGGCTTCGGTTCTTGGTACGAGACTCTCCTTTGAAGCCAAGGGTGATCCGTCTTCTAAGGAGAACCTTGTGCTGAGGGCCCCGGGGGGGCTGAGCATCGCCAAGGCAGGGGGATCCGGGGGGGGCTGGGGGGGGGGGGGGGGGCTTGGCGGGGCCCATGCCAGCTCCGGGGTGAGCACAGGGCTCCCGGCTGCCGCTGGCACGGGGCGGGGGTGAGGACCCTCCTCCCGCCGTGCCCAGGCCGGCTCACCCCGGTGGGGTCGGTCCTGCCCCCGCTGAAGCCTTTTGGGGTGCTGCGGGAGAGACCTGGCGCTGCTTCCCCCCACCCCGAGCACGCACCCGCCCTCTGCCCCACGCAGGGGTGTCACCTCTGCCCACCCATCCAAAGGGATGCGCGTGTGTGTGTCCCCCCCCCTCCGGCCCCCCCGCCCCTGCGAGGGGACCGTTCAGCCTCCCCGCCTGTGCCCCCCGGGGATCCTTCCGCACCATCACCCCAAGCAGGACAACGGATCCCACCCGCGCAAGGTCCCAACCTGCACAAGAGTTGGCGAGAGATCCCGACGCTCACTGAGAAATGACCCGGAGCGGAGTGAGCCCAAAGAGGTCAGAGCTCTGGTTTGGCCCCCAGGGACCAGAGGGCGACCAGCAGCCTCCAGCCGCTGCAAGCATCCCGCAGGTCTGGGCTCCACGGGCTCCTTGAAGGAGACAACCCCGGACCGGATCCTATTAAAGACCAAGAATGGGCTTTGGGGTGGGTGGGGGGGGGGGGTACATCCCTTATCTACTTTCCTCCCACGCTGATCACAAAAAGTGAGACTTTCCAGGATCTGAAGACCTCCCAGCCTCCTCCAGCCTCGAAATACCCAAGGGCCGGAGGCAGGGAGCAAACTAAGAAAGCGGCTGCTGGAAACGCCAAGTTTGGGGCATGGTGTGCTCCCTCCCTGGGCGGTCCGGTCCTGCAAACCTTGCAGCAGCTCCTCTCCCCGCTCCGCTCTTCCTTTACTGCACTGAAGCAGCCGTTCATAAACCGTTCCTCCACGCTTTGGCCTCTCTTGGCCGATGACACTTGCCCGACGGGTCTTCGGGTTCACGTGTGGGGATGACGAAGAGCGAACCCCGCGGGATTTTATGGGAATCAGAGAGTAGAGTCCCAAATTGCTCCCCCCGCCCCCCACCCTGTTCTTTGAGGTCTTTGGCTGGTACTGATGTTTCTCAGGATGGGCGGACAGCAGCCCAAGGACCTCTGCCACCAGGAGGGCTGGGGAGCTGGGATGGGAGGGACACTCCACCTTGGTCCCCAGTGACCCCTCCTCACCGGTGCTGGGCAGATTGGCGACAGGGAGGGAGGGGAGTGGGGCCAAGGGAAGCCTTGGAGAAAGCAAACACCAGCAGGAGCCCTTGCGGGGCTGGAGCTCTGGAGATCTGGGTGGGAGGAGGAGGCTCCTGCATGGGCAGCAGAGCAGGGGGAGCTCAGGTCCTGCTCGGTAGCTCCTGCCTCCTGCTCTTTGGCACCTGAGTGTCTCTTTCCCCGTCTCAATCTGCCCTACAGCCCTGCCCGTCTGCTGGCAAAGGAGCCCGCAACCGGTAGAGACCCAGAACGCAGAGACACGGTCCCTCGCAAAGCGGATCCATCCTTGTCAAATCGCAGGGGCGCAAGGAAAGCAGCGGCCTCAACATGTGACTCTCCCGAAAGAAAACCAAAAAAGACACGTCAGGACAGAGAGAAACCCAAACTGCCAGGACAAGCAGCTGCAAACAAACATCTGGAGCAGATGTTATCTGACTCATTACAGGGTGGGGCAGGAAAGGGGCTCACAACCCCAACCAAAATTGGAGTCCTCTCTGCAGGGAAACCAAACTGTCTGGCAGCCGGAGATGGGGAGGGAGGAGAATGGATCTGGTCTGAAGATGTTAGGAAAAGCTCGGGGAAAAAAACATGCTCAGAGGCTACCCACAGCCTTCCTGACGCCAGCTGAGCTCAGTGAACCAGAGCTGGCCTCCTTGGAGAGCTCTTGGCAAATCCCAACTCGTCCCTTCTGCTGAGAGCGAGAAACGGGAGGTCGCTGGGGCTCTGGGTGGGGGGGGGAAGCAAGAACCCCACGTGAAGCTACGAGCGGGGTAGGGACCAACAGCTCTAAACTTCTCTAGCCCACGCAACTGCCAGGCTTGGATGTGGCTTTGCATTTTGCCCTCAACGCAGCCAACCCGAAGCCCTGCGCTGGTCTGAAAGCCCACCTGGGGCTCTCCTCCTCCCCACTTCCCTTCGATGTAGTCATACGGTATGTCCTGCAGGTTTGTCATTTCTTGGAGATGAGAGATTCGAGAGACCTGGCCGGAGTCCTCAGCCCTGCCCCCATGGGCTATGGCACGATTCCCCGGGAGGAATGGGACTTCTGCACTGACCCAGAAAAAGCCCATTTAGGTAGAAGGCAACTGGCAGGCGTGCTGGCCTCCTACCAATTCCTGAAGGTAAATATGCTGCAATAGTAGTGCAGGGCTCCGCCTCGCCGTGCTGGTGCCAAGCAAAACTGGCTCAGGGGAGCCGATATGTGGACAGCCATCTTCGCATCCTACAGCTCCGGCACCTGGGGGAGGTCACCCCGTGCTTGCATGACTTCGGAGGCCGTGAAAATGATGAAGCTTCACATGTTGAGTCATTCCACCATCAGGAGAGGAAGCAATGAATTGCAAAGATACAGAGGTGGTAACTAAATTTACAAGTAGGATCCATTTAAAAAGGAGGAGGAAAAAAAAAAAAAAAAAAAAAAATCAAAGTAGAGCAAGTTGGAAAATTCTGTTCATTAGTTTTCTTTAAAAAGTTTCAATGAACTATTTCACATTCTCATTCAAGTGAGACAGTTCCTCAAATCTTCAGTGAAAAAGGGATCTTTTTTCCCTAAAAAAGTTTTATGTTTTTTAGGAAGAAGGAGTTTAATCAGCACCAGTAGAAAAGTGAGCCGAGCGTTCAAAAGGAAGGGTGCCTCTTGGTGGAAGTCTCTCCCCCAGACATCTCTTGGAAGTAGGGAGCCAAGCGATTATTGGCATATGGATAAATACGTTTGCAATATACTGCTGCCACAGAGACATGGCCTGATCTTACAGGGGTACACACACACACACTACAGGTCATTGCCTTAAAACCCAAATGATTTCCGAGTCGCGGGCTGGCCTCAGGGGACGTGCAAACTGCAGGGACGTGGCCCCCTCCCTTCCCGATGCCAGGAGAGCCTCACTGTAACCCAGAGCACCGTCCTGGATTCCCCACAGCCGATGGAAGCAGGGTCTCCGTCTTCGGCCAGGGGAAACACCTTTCAACATCCCCCCTCGGGCTCTAGGTGAAATCAGGGTGAGGGGTTTTGGTCGCGTGGGCACAAACTTCCCACCAGGGCTGGGATTCCTCTCCCCTTCCCCATGGAACCGCCAGTTCAGTGTTTGGGTCCCATTCCAGTCAAAGGAGACAGGCACCGCCGGAGCATGATTTAATGAATAATGTTTTCGAGCGGGATGAATCACCCTCTGGAACCGCTTTTCTCTGCAACAGAGGGAGCTTGGACCAGCCGTGGTTTTTAGATAGCAAATGTACGGAAAGAGGAATCCCATCGTGAGAGTCCACCTCCTGCCTCACCCCACAGCCAGCACTAAACCCTCCCCCTCTCTCTGCAAAGCAGAACCACCCCACCCCCCCCCCGGACAATCTGTAAACTCCCTTTCCCCCTCTCCCGACTACCTAGGAACTAAAGGTCTAGGATTAGCAATAAACAGACTGGGAGATCATCTTCCAGCATGTGCAAGTGTACCAGGAAGCCAAACCTTGCATCTGGCACCATTCACAGCAGTATCATGAATATTATTAGTAATAGACCTAGCCATCCTAACGTTATATTTATATATACAAAAATAGATCCACAGAACTCTACGTGAAGAGGTGGCTGAGGGAAGGCGACGGATGAGCCCTGGATGACCGGGTCTTGGAGGAAGCCAAGGGACACGTTGCATATATTTCTCCAGGGGAACCATTCGCTTCCCTCTGCACTCGCGCACCTCGGAGGAGGGCCGGGCGCTGGGACGTGGCCTCGGCCCCGAACTCCCCCCGCCCGCCCCGCCGATACCAGCGGGGTCACAGCTGAGAGCTGGCACCCCGCATTTTGCAAGCGGAGATGGGGCTGAGTCCAGGAGCAGCAGGAGGACCCCCCGCAGCCGCAGCGACGCCTCGGGCTTATTATCACCCCAGCAAGCAAACCGCGAAGCGCCGACCCCGATGCAGGTTTCCTTCTGGTCTGCAGCTGGGGTCAGACCCATCTCCAGTTTGGGCCCCTCTCCAGGGTGACACGCCGGTGGGCCGGGGAAAGCGAGGTGAGGACTCAAAGGCAAACTTCTGCAGGGAAGGAAGGTCGGGCTCCCGTCTTTCCACACCCCCCTTCTGCTCTCTGTTTCCCTCCAGCCCAAAGCAGGAGCTGCAGAAGTCCCCGTGGGGGAGTCCCCCAGGATTGTGCCGGGGAGACAGGGAGAGCAGTGCGAGGGGCAGCTGTTGACAGTTGGGTTTGGGGTATTTGTTTTTTGGTTTTGTTTTGGTTTTTTTTTAATTTTTTTTTTTTTTTTTTTTTTTTTTTTTTTTAAAGTGAATTCAGTGCTGGTGGAAGGTACCAGATCGGGGCTCTCGGGGCTCGAGCACAGAGCCGGTGCCTGTGGCATCTGCTCGGCGGTGGGATGGAGCTGGGTGGCAGCTCCCATCCCGCCAGGGTTTGCGCTCTGGAGGCAGCCCTTCAAGGCAGCGAGAAATGAATGGCAATTTCAAACCAGCTCCTTGTTCTCAGCCAAATCCCAGAGGGGACCTTTCCCTCGCTGCAGTCGGGCAGAAGCGAGTGGGCTGGGCTGCCTCCGATAGCTCCTTCCCCTGCCAGAAGGTTTCTAAAGCTTCCCACACCTTCCCTTCCTCTTTGAGACAGAAAAATACGATGCCACCTCATTTTGAAGCTCGTTTGCTTCTCCCAGCGGCTTCCAAGCCCAGCGGGAAGCCACCGACACTGGTGGGACCCCGCGGCACCCCCAGCCCCTTGGGGAAAGCGGCCCTACGGCCACGTGAGTGGAGAGGGGTCACCCACGCGAAGTGCCGGAGGGGGAGAAAGGGACACAGAAGGAGATCTGGCTCCGGGAGGACTCTTGCACAGGGGGACGCGTCGATCTGCCTCTTCCCCTCCGTCGGGAAGGACCACACCGTGGGGCAGCGGCAGCTCCTAAAACCCTCTGTGGAGCAGAGTCCTGCGGACCCCCCCCCCACACACACACCCCGGGTCACCCTTCCCCGCAGGGCACGGCCGGGGAGGGCACCCGCAGCTCTCTCCGCCTCGCCGGGTCCCGCACCCGCCTGTGCGAAAACCAGCATTTCCCCGGGGGCGCCCAGCCGCCTTGGTGCTCCCAGAGGCTGGGGGACCCCCCAGTTCACCCGTCTTGTTGCTGGGAGGTGACGGCGGGTGTTGGGGAGCGCTGCGGAGCGGAGGGAGCCGAAGGAGGAGGCGGATGGAGGGGAGAGGAGGAGGAGGAAGAGGAGGAGGAAGAGGAGTAAAGCCTGCTTCTCCTCCCCGGGAGGGTCATACCGGCTTATCCAGCGTCTTGGGGAAAGGCGTGCCGCTGGAGGAGGAGATCTTCCTGCAGACCGTGTTGGTGTGGCTCTGGCAGCGGCAGCCGGGTCGTTTCAGGCCGTCATAACCCCGCTGGCAAAGTTTGAGGCACCCCAGGGTAGGAAAGTAGCAGCAGAGGCAGGGCATGAGGAGAGAGAGGAAGCTCATGGCAGCCCAGCGGGCACAGCAGGACCCCGGCCCGCAGGAGCAGGGGTCGTCGGCGCAGGTGTCCTCGTCGTCGGTGGAGCAGTGGTAGAAGAGCCCCTTGACGCAGCAGAGGCAGGTCCCGTAGTCGAGGAGGCTCTCGGGGGAGCAGAGGCAGCGCTGGTTGCAGAGCCAGCAGGAGGGCAGGCTGCGGGCGGCCGTGCAGCGGGCGCACTTGCACCGCCCGCACTCCTCGCAGACCAAGAGGTGGCCGGCGTGGAGGGTGGGCTTCTCGGCCGCCCCTTTCAACGGCGACTCCTCGGCTTTCAGCTCGCCGGCCCGGGGCTGCGTCCGGACGAGGGAATGCCCGGAGTGGGAGGGCGTGAGGCCGCTCAGGAGGCGCTGGTCGGAGGCGGTGGTGCTTTGGGAGACCGAGCTGGCCGTGCTGGAGTGGCTCATGTGCGGCTGCAGGGGCGGCATCGGGTGCTGCTGGCTGTGGCTGCGGTGCAGGTCCTGGAAGGTGGAAGACACCAGGCGGTCCTGGGACCACTCCTGCTTGGGGGGTGGCTGGGACAGGGACGGGTTGGAGCGGGCTTGCTGGAAGCAGGCAGCCGGTCTCTCCACGTAGTTGTTGCTGGCGCGGATGGAGCGGATTTGGTCAATGGACAGGACCTGCTGGAAGTCCTCCGCGGGCGGGTCCATCGTCTCGTCGCAGCTGAGCTCAGCCACACTGGAAGAGAGCTGCATTTCCGGGAGCGAGGAGACCCTGCGGCATCAGGGCACATCTAAAAATCCTAAAAGATGGGGCAGGAAGACAGAGAAAACATTTCTGTTACGCTTTACGACGGATCCATCTGCACAAACCGGGAAGCAGAGACTGGCTGGAGAACTCCTTGTGAAGTTATTTCCAACCACCAGAGGCAAAGCCTGGGGAGACCCAGGCTGGACACGTCCAAAAGGCAAGGACCATAAGATCTGTCCTCGAAACAGGTCAGCACAGCATCTCCCCACGCTTTTTTTGCTTCTTGTGTCCTTCCAGAGGATTTCCCACCCCTTGCCAGCACTGATGGGCCCCGTCTGTCCTCCCTCTCCCTCCCCAGGGGGAAGGGCCGGCCCTCTCGAGAGGAGGGGGAAACTGAAGCTGTGACTTATCCAGAGCCAGCGACGGAGCTGGGAACGACATCTCCTCCGGAGCAGGAGACTCGGTTTTGGGGACCTCCCAGCACACCCCGAGCAGCCTCTCGGTGCCGTACCCCATCCCACACACCAGGGCCACGGGGATGGAGGGGACCTGAACACATTTCATTTCAGGCAGCATCAGCAATAAATTGCAACTCATGAGACACACGCTCGGCCAGGGACAGGCCAAGCCCGCAGACCCCCGCTGCGTCCCGGCGGTTCCCGCTGCAGCATCCCCCCCTTTTCCCACGCGCAGCCCAGCGACAGCCCCGGAACCCATTTCCCCACCGTCGCAGACATCAGGAAGGGCAGGTTTCTCCCTCACCCCGGCACAAAGGCAGGGCGAAGCAGGGAAAGCCCCGTCTCACACCAAGGCTGCCACGCTCTTTGCTGCCCTGTTCAGGAACCGGCACTTCCCGAGCCTGCGGCGCTGGGAGAGGTCCTGGCTTTATCCCGAGGGGTCACCACCATCCCAGGGCTGCGGGTTGGGGTAGGGAGGAACCCCCCCCCCACCGTGTCCCGTAACTCCAACCCCCCCGGCAGGTTTGACCTCGTGGCACCAGCGCCAGCACCAAAACCTCGGGCTGCCCCAAACCTTGCCGTCGGGGTGAAACCTCGGTGGGGCCGGGCGAGGAGAGGGGCCAGCGGGAGCGGGTGTGCCACCCAGGCAGGTCTTGGCCCTTAGGAGGGAGGGAGGGAGAAGCTTCCCACTCCCACTGCGGGCAAAACGGAGCTGCCCGGGGGCGCGCAGAGGACGGAAGCCATTCGTTACACGCCAGACCCCAGCAAAGAGCTTTCCCCCAGCACTTCCAGCCCGGATTTCAATCTCGGAGACGTGCTTCCCGCGCGCAGCCAACTTCCCCGGGACAAAGCCATTCTCCTCTGGCAGATCAAATGAGCGATCCCTCAGTGACACAGATATTGTCACGGTGCCCGGGCCCGCAGGAAGACTCTGTTTCAGGAGGAAGCTCCCCACCGGCGTTGCACATGGTCAGCAGGCCAGGCGGCCGGCGGCGGCGGAGGCTTGCGAGTAGGTGAGGGGCCACAGGTAGAATCTGCTCATGCAGCAGAGAGAGGCAGAGGGAAGATTGATTTTCATTAGCTAGGCTGACCTTGAAGAGCAGGGAAAAGCAAAGGCAACTTACTTTGACTGTTCAAGCAAGATCTGGTCTCTCCCATCCCCCCTCCCCGGAAAGAAAAGGCAACCGATCTGCTTAGATTTGGGTTTTTCCTGCGCCTGGAGCCCACCTGCCGCCCCCTCCGGGCGAGCGCAGGGGAGATGCTCAGCCCCGGCCCAGGGCGACGCCGGCAGTGACTGAGCTGCTCTCCCAGGACCCCCCCGATTGATTCGGACGCCGCTTTGTTTAACGGGAACATCAAGGTGAATTAGGAGGACACGGCCGGCCCGGGGAAGGGTTGGCAAGCACGCTGCCCGGATGAGCAAAAGAACCTCTTGTGAGCTGGTACCCGCCGCCACCGAGCTCCTCACCTGGGAGGGTCTCACTCACGCACAGGCTGGTGCCCTGAAGCCCCCTGAACCCCAGAAAATCTCCGGCACAGCCCAGCCTGCAGCTGGGACCATGCAGAGGGGAGCAGAGAGCGGCCTCGGCGGGTTCCCACGTCCCTCGCGACCCAGACCCCGTCTCGGGGTGGGATCGTTCCGGGGACGATGCGGATTTACATTTACACGCCGGGGATTTGCTGCTCATATCTGGGGGGTGCGTGCCCTCCGAGCTGCGCCCTGGGATGTGGCAGTGCTCGGGCAGCGAGGCTCCCGTGAGGTTCCCCTCCCCTGAGGGGGGGGGATTGACCCAAGGTGGGACCCCAAGGGAGAAAGCGAGGCGGGGGACGAGTCCCACCGCGCTGGAGGTGGTGGAACGGGGAGATAAAGAGCAGCCAAAGGGCAAAGCCAGAACAGCTACACCCCATCCCCTGTGCAAGATGCGGAGCTCGGGGGACACGGGGAGCCCCGTGAGCCGTGCTCAGGCAGGAGGAGATGCACGGGGGACGCTGCGAGGAGCAACGGAGCCCTGGGGACAGCAGGCAGAGAGAGGAGCTGGCAGTGGGGCCGTGCAGGGCCCTTGGGCTCTGGGTTCAGTTCTGGACCCAGCACCCCAGGCAAGGCAGGTCCTGGGAGGACCCCCAGCACCAAACTGGGGTCCGAACGCTCCTGGACCCACGGTCCCCGAGGCGTAGGGGTTAGACGTGGACCCAGATGCTCTGGCTGGGGGGTGGCAAAGCTCCCTCTGGGACCCAAGGGGATGTGAGCCAGAGGACCTGTGGGTCCCCCAGTCCAGCGGGATGGGGGGAAGCCTGCCCACGCCACCCCGGGGTGGGTGCCCCCCACTCTCTCCCAGCCCCTCCCTGCTCCAGCCCGACCCTGGGGCTGCAACCAGTCCCCACCCCAGTCCCCAGCGGTCCCACCAGCCCCGCGGCTCTGCCGCACCCCTCCCTGCCTACCTGCCAGGCTGGGGGGGCTCGGGGCAGCGTGTCCCCAGCCTCCTCCTCCTCCTCACACCCTGCCTGCGAGGCAGGCATGCCAGCCCCGGAAACCCGGCCAGCTTTATGGCCGCCAGCAGCCCCAAACATATAAAGTTCGTGTGATAATGGGCCAGAGGAGGGATCGTAAAAGCAAATGATTTACAGGCTGGAGGTGGCTGCAAGCGGGGACGAGCTGCCCAGGTGGGAGAAAAGGGCTTTTTCCCTCCGGAGGGACCCCCGTGCCCCGTCCCGGGTGGAGCGGGGTCAGTGGCGGGCGGCTGCTCCCCCGGTCCCCGGCGCTGAGCCCAGCCCACGCGTGTCCCGGATCCGGGCTGCAGCCCCCGTGAGCGGCCCCGCCGTGTGCTGGCTGGGTCCCCCCCAACCCCGCCGCCCCAGCCCTCCGGTGCAACACAAACCCACGCGTGGCTCGGATCCGGAGCCGGCCCGCCACCCCCCCAACACGCCCCCCCCCCCCTTCTCCAGCCCCACCGTGGGCGCAGCCCACGCGCTGCCGGCACCCCCCGAGCACCGCCGTGCGCGCAGCCCGTTGGCGCTCGGGACGCCCCAGCCCCGCCGCGCCCACGACCCACGCGTGACCCCGATCCACACCCTCGGCCCCCTCCCCCCCCCCTACGCGTGCCCAGGCCCCCCCAGCGGCGTGCCCGGCACCCCCAGCTCCGCTGCGCACTCACGGACACCCCCCCTCCCCCCCTCCCCGTCCCTTTCAGCGAACACCCCACGCGTGCCCAAGCCCCCCCCCCCCCCGCTCCACACGCACTGCCCACGCGCGCGTGTCCACCCCGCCGCAGCCCACCCGTCCCGCAGCCCCCCCCCCTGCCGCGCCCACCCCACGCGTGTCCCCGTCCCGCAGCCGCGCACGGGCGGACTCACCCCGCCGCCGCCGCCGCCGCCGCCGCCTCCTCCCGCCGGTCCATCCACCCGCGGATCGCCCAGCCCGGCCGGGACCAGCCCCGGGCCACCGGGAGGCTGCTTAGGGCCACCGGACGATGGCCATGAGCGCCGGGCACCTCCCGCCCACCCGGTCCCGCAACCGGGTGCTCCACGCCGCGCCGGGTCTCCCGTGGGGGCGGCGAGGGGGGGCCCGGGCGGGCTGCGCGGCGCCGGGGGGCAGCGGGGAGGCTGGAGGGAGGCGGGGAGGGATCTGCGGCCGCCCGTTACCATCGCTCGCTCTCCCTCGCTCTGCCGCTGCCTTCCCGGAGCCGCAGCTCTTTAACGCTCACCCAAGTGGCGTCATCCCGCGGCAACCGCCTCGGCCCATTAGCCGGTCCCCACAGAGCCCCGGGCATCCGCTCCCCAGATAATGGCTCCCACCCAGCACGCGCTATTTAAACATTTCCGTCGGCTTTTCCCACCCTGCGCCCACCGGGACAGCCCACCCAACCCGTCACCCACCCATACGCACACCCACACACCCACACACACCCCCCATACCCACTCCCGGGGGGGGCGCCCACGCTGGGCGCACCTGCCGGCCGGGCCGCCGCGGGGGTCACCCGGTTGGGTTGGGGCCGAGCCCGTGGGGGGGAGGATGCGTTGGGATGCCGAGGGGGGTCGGGAGCGGCGGTTGGGGGGGGGGGGGGGGCGAAACCCCCCAACTGGGGAATGGCTGGGACGCGGGCGCAGTCCCCTTCTCCCCTCTCGCCTCTCCCTGGGCATCTCCCGAGGCGACGGTGCCGCCCACCCCCCAACACTACCAAAACACCCGAACTAATCCCCAAATTAGCTCCTGTAAGGAGAAGCTCGGGGCAGAGCGGCTGGGAAGGGGCTTTTCTGTACCGCAGAACCGAGTCCGCACGCCCCAAATTCTCCCTATAATTAAAAACCTCCGGTTCAGGGTCCAAACAGGACCTGGAGCTTCTGTCCCAGACGTGTCCCCGAGCCGCTGCGTGCTCCCTCCTTGCGCTGTTCTCTTGGAGGCAGCAACCGCTGCTCAGGAGCGCCAAGGAACCTTGTCGTACCCCTCGGCCCCATTTATTTACAAATCGGACCTGGTGTGACAGCCCCAAAGACAGAAGGCCTCTCCCCAGTGACACCGGCCACTGGCCGTGGACCCCACCAGAGCTCCCACCCTCATTTTACTCCTCTCGACCCTCCCAGGTTGGTCACCCAGCCTTTCCGGGAGCGCTCACCGGATGAGCAAAGCAACATCCCCGGCTCAGGGAGGGCTGAGATCCTCCCTCCAAGAAGCGAAGCTGAAGCCACCGAGCCCTCAAGGCTCCCCGCCAGGTCCCTCGCAGCACGGGGACCCACTGCCCTGGGGCTCGGCTGGGGGGTGCGGGGGCGGCCGGGGGGGGGGGACGGCAGGAGAAGGAGCCTGAGTAAGGGTGACAGAACCAGCTGTGCCGCTGGCTGCTCTGACGGAGGGGTCTAAACCAGGGTGACCCCCCTGCGCTCGGCGGCTCCCTCCCAGCTGATGCCAGCAGAAGCACTGGGGTGCTCCCCAGCAGGGACCAGTGACTCTGCCCTCCCGGCGTGGTCCCCAGCTGAGCCTTTCCAGGGTCGTTTTTAGGCATTTTTAGGCATTATTTTTAGGCTGAGCGCTTCTCCATCTCCAGAGGATCCCACCGGAGATGCTCCTCCGGGAGGAGTTTCTCTAAGAGGACCGAGTCCCTGAGAGCATCCCTCAGCCTCAGTTACAGCTCAGAGCCTCAAGGCTGCATCTCCCCCCCTGCTCCCACGAGCCCCTCCTCTCCTCCCCATCGCGCTCGGCTCCGTCGTTAAAGGTGGCAGAAAGGAGCCGAGCTGCCCAATTCCCAGCGCCTGCCAGCTGGCCGTGAGCACCTGACTCCTCCAAGCACGTGTGATGTCCTCCCTTTCTCCCAGCCCAAATCTATCACTCCCACCTTGAGGTGCCGGTGATTCAGGCTTCCCTCGCTGGCTCACAGCATCCCTAGCGCAGCCTGCGTCGTGCTCAGCCAGCGCTGCTTTATTCCTCACCCGCTGCCGAGGGAGGGCCAAAAAGGCATGAATGCAGAGATACCGAGACAAGTGGGAGGGTGGGAAGCGGAGGGAGAATAGCAGCCTCCTGGTGAGTTATTGACCGCAGCATCTCTGAAGAGGAGGGCTGGGAACCCGGCTGCATTTGCAAAAGCAGAAAAGTTCCGAGCCGCTCCCAAAGGAAGGGGCTGGGACAGCCCCCGGCAGGTTTTGGGAGGGTTTTTGGCTGCTGGAAGGGGGATGTGGTCCCCTGACGGCGCAGAGCCGCGGTGTGAGCCGCGCCGGAGGAAGGTGTGAGACCCCGCTGGGTTTCTGATCGTCCCTCCCGGGCGCAGGGTCCGCGGCTGCCCCTGGATGAGGGTTTAACATCCCTCCCGCCGTGCCAACAGCTCGGGCACCGCTGCCTCAGCCGCTACCTGTGGCTCATCCCAGCTCCTCTCTCATCCCGGCTCCTCTCTCATCCCAGCTCCTCTCAACCGGCCTTTGGAACCGGCCCCACTCCCTCTCCCAGTTTGAATCCGCCACCTTTTAACCCCTCGAACACCCTTGGGGTCCTGGCCAAAGGGATGGGGAGAGAAGCAGCTCCCAGGAGCCCCATTCTCTGCCTTTATTTTAGAGGCTACCAGCACATCTCCTGCCCGGGACAGCCGACAGCACGGAGATACGGGCACTGGGATGGCAGCAGTGCAGCCCCGTGTTCCCAGCCCCAGTGAGCCCTCTCCACGAGCCCTCGGTGCCTGTTGGGCATCTCTGCCTTGGGGGAACCCTCGTCCCCGGCAATCCCCACAGGTCGCCGGCAATTCCTCCCTGCTTTGCTCCTCCCGCTCCCCTTGCACATCCCCAACGCCCCGAAAAACAAGCGGGGGGTTACTCGCCTTCCTTCCCCTCCTCAGCAAGAATTCCTTTAGATACACAACGCACGTTCACAAAACCAAAAGAGCTAAAGATGGAGCCCGAAGGGCTGAGTTGCAATTTTAAAAGAACCAGGAGAGCTCGGCGCTGTTTTCTACGCACGTTGTCCAGCCGCCTCCAAGCCTGACCAGCTCGGGTCCTGCCAGCACAGGCGGCCGAACAATTAACCGCTGCGGGTCGGCTCGGAAGCGGGCAGCAGAGAGGAGGATATCCCAGAGCAAGGCTGGAGATGTCAGATCTCCTCCGATGCTCTCAGCCAAGCCTGGGCAAAGGGAGGAGGGCAGATTCACCCTCACTTAAAGGTGATGTGGGGCGCCGGGGATGAGGGAGAAAAGGGAGAGGATAAAGAGAACATGCGATTCCCCTGATTAAATCAGGCAGGAACAATGAGGTGCTGGTGCCCTCTAATTTTTAGATTCACAGATTTTAGGGCCAGAAGGGACCGTGATGTTCATCTAGCCTGACAGTCTGTATTATGTAAAAGCCACTTGAAGCCAGACAGTGCCACTGGCATTTTAGAAGCAACGGCAAGCGCTGGGGAACTTATTAAAAGGCTGCGACTCTCCTGAGGTGGAGGGACATGTGGCTCCCGGCAGAGGCTCTGGTAAGGGCGAGGCCAGGTACATCCAACCCACCGGGCTCAAGCTGAGCAAGGGGAAAAAAAAAATGTCATTTCCCTTTCATATCACACAGCTCCTTTGCCCGGCAAAGAGGGATAAGCAAGAAAGGAAAAAAATAATAATAATTAAAAAAAAAAAAAAAAGTACCCCCTTCCTTGCATTTTCCTGCTGAACCTTCCCTAGTCCCTGGAAAGAAAACTCCCTGCAGGGATCCCAGCCCCGAGACGTCTCTTGGCTGCTTTGGTGTAAAACCCCACCGCTTGCAGCGATGCAGCTTCGTAGCAAGCGGAGCTGAGCCCGACCCGCCGCGCGAGCCAGATCCTGAGCTCCTTCCTCAGCCTGCAGCACCGCGGAGGTGTAGTCATTGACTGCAATGTGAGTTTTTCTCTGAAGATGGAGCCAGGCGGCATAAAACATCAATAAAGAGCTCAGGATGCGTCCCTTTAATGAGCTGAGATTGTAACACGCTGACGGAGCTTGCCAGAAGCTGCCCATTCTGTCAGGAGGAGTAGATCCTGCTGGAGAAGTGTTAAGTGGGTCCTGCTGACTCATTGATGCAGATGGCTCCGTCCCCACGCCGCCGGCGGCGAGGCAGGAGGTGCCGTCTCGGGGGAGAGCATCCAGCGCCGGGGCTGAGCCGGTACCCCGGCGTGTGAACCCAGCCGGAGGTGGAACATAAAAGCGGATTTTTAAATTTTTTTTTTTTTTTTTTTTAATTTTGTTTTGTTTTGTTTTTTCTCCCCCCGCTCCGTGTGCCGTTGCGTGGAGCGAGCGCCAAGCCTTGGGCAAAGCTCAAGGCGTCCCGGCGCATGGAGGGGCTCCCTGTGCTTCCAGGGCAGCTCTTCTTCCGCAGAAAACATGCTTGCCCCCCCGCGGGGTCCCCCACCCGAACCCACGTCTCCCTCCCAGCAGAGAAACCAGCGCAAAGACATGACTCAAAGCAGCAAGGGCAGCTCGAAACGCGCGACACAGACCCCGGCCCCAAGCTCCTCGGGCACCTGAGCGGGGTGGGTAAAGGCAGGAGGGGCATCGGGAGTAGTGATTTTGGGGGGCCTGTCCATACAAGCATTTCCTCGCTGGGAAATTGTTCCCTCCACCTTCCAGCCCCCTGGAAGGACGAGCAGATGCTCTGGAGCCGGAGCTCCTTCCTTCAGCACCCTTCCTGGCTGCCTTTGGTGACCCCAAGCTTGAGGTCTGTGTGGGGTGCCACGGGCGGGTGACGTGTATTTCCCCCCACCCGAAACCCATCGCTACACCCACTGGGGAATCAAACACCCCATTTGCACCCTCCGGACCCGCGGTGGCCCCAAAAAGCCCGTGGACCCACAGGACACACACTCTTCATCCGACCCGTGTCTGCACGGCACCGTCAGCCCCCGGCTTGATGGGGACATGACACTCCCACCACTGTCTCTTCTGCCCCCGAGCCCTCAGGGCCATCCCTCTCCCTGAATTCTATGCCCCAAGCTCCCTGTGATGCTTCTCCACCGTCCTGATCAGCCACCACCCGCTGCTTCAGCTCTATCTCCAGGCTTTCCAGAGGTCCCAGGCTGAGCTCCACCACGGGTATCCCCCCTGTAGATGCCCAGTTGTGCTCAGCTGTGCTCAGACCAGCTGGTCCAGCGGCAGATCTTCCACCTCTCGCTCCCCTCCAAGCCCGGGTACCTGACCCGAGCATCCTCCCTCACCCGGGTGCCACCCTTCCCACTCCAGACCAAGCCCTCTCACGCCCCACTGAGCAAAACCCACTCCCCAACGATGGAGGCGGCGGGCGGGAGGCAGCTCCCCCCCCCCAATTTCTTTGCCTTCAGCACTT